TAGCACAAAAAGGTATTTAGAAACAGAAAAACTGGGAAACATTGTGAACATTGTGAGAAGTCTTTTTGTAGGGGCTGGGGTTGGCTTGTACAACAAACATTTATTTCTCACAGTTCTGGAAGCTGACAAGTCCAAGATCTAGACTGGCTGATTCAGTGTCTGTTGAGGGGTTGCTTCCTCATTCATAGCTGGCTGTCTTTTCACTGTGTTTTGTGATACACCTTTATTGATTAAGTAATGGCAGCTTGAAGTTTGTAGTAGCTCTGATTCTGGGGAAGAGTGTATGACCAAGGCCGGTCAACACTACCACGGTCCCCATTGCCTTTAAAGGTAAGCATGGAACCCAAGTACAGTGAATGAGGCACAAGGAAACTTTGGCTGAGATTTCTGGAGGAAAGACTCTTGCTCTTTCTTACTGGATCAAAAAATGGGGAGGGTATAGGACCAGGAGCTCTGCCATTGTCTTGCTACCATGGGAAACATGAGACTGAAGCTAACATAGTGAATGGCTCCTCTGAGGGATATAGCCAAACTGTTCCTGGAGATATATATGGCTTGGAACTTCATGCCTGACCTGAAGTTGATCTAATTCTGCTGTCTAAAGCTTACAAGGGCCAATACATTACCTTTACTTAGGCCAACTTATGTCAATTTTCTAGCACGTATAATTAAAAGGATTTGAGCTTAATATGTGTTAGAGGAAGAAAAATATAACCGGGGAATTATTACACTGCAGTGATAGATTTTAATTTAGCTTTTGGTTTATTCTCTATCTTCACCACTGACTATCAGCTCCTCATGGGCAGGGACCATGTCTACCTTGATTATGTACCCATATCCAGGGCTTAGTCCAGTGTCTTGCATACAGATATTAAATATTTCTTGACTTAAGTAAAGAAGAAAAATAGAGACATGAAAAATCAAAATAAAGAAGACTTCAAAATAATTTTTTCACATTTATATATAAGAAATTTTATATATCACTGAGATATAGTGATAAATGATTAATGAATTGCAGAAAGAGTGTAACTACAAAGGCAATAAAGAGAGTTTATTAGAGAGATAAGATTCTGTCACTTATGCTAGCACACATGCCAAGAGAGGGTTTGAATAATACTAAGGGATGAGGGGAAAAAATCACCCTTTGTTCAGCCTTTTCTGGAACACACCCAAGATCAAGAGATAATTTACAAAAATTTTTAAACGTTATACTTTTTAAAAAAGAATAAGAAGAATAAATGAACAAGATAATAAAATATAAAATAAGAGCAGCAAGAGGTTTTTTTTTAAGATTTTATTTATTTGAGAGAGATAGAGAGAGATACCACAAGCTGGGGGTGGGGGTTGGGGGGGGAAGGGGCAGAGGGAGAGAGGCAGAAGGAGAGAGAGAAGCAGACTCCCTCCTGACCAGGGAGCCTGACGTGGGGCCTGATCCCAGGACCCTGAGATCATGACCTGAGCCAAAGGAAGACACATAACCGACTGAGTCACCCAGGTGCCCCAATATACCAGTTTTTCTTCATCATTTTTTCGTATATAACCTATGCCTAAAAGTAATATTATATATATATGCATATACATGCTATTTTACACTATGTGCCATTGACCAGAAATTTTAACTTTTGTCCAATTTAGTCTTTTGAGCAATATGTTTATCAAGTCAGATTTGTAGGTCTGGGCTTATTACTAGTTTTCACAGGTACATGTACGTTTTTTGCTCTTCACCTTTTTTATAGTACCCTTTGTAGATCATCTCCTATAGGTGCTTTTATAGCTACCACATTTTTTTTTGCAGCTCTATGGATGTTCCATAATTTTTAAACTAGTCTTCTGAATTGGAGGTTACTTGGTGGTTAACAATCTTTTATTTTTATGAACATTGTAGCAATGGATAGCCTGTACATTTTGGTCATGTGTGAAGATATCCGTATGATTCATTTCTAGAAGTGGAATTGCTGGGTCAAAACATATGAGCACTGACAGCTTTAAGATGATATTACTGTATTGCTCTCCTTTGAAGCTGAATCAATTCACATGCCCGCCAGCGAGGTATGGGGGGTTTCTGTTTCCCCAAGCCTTTTCTAATACTGAGTTATCAAAAATTTTTGAGCTTTGCCACTTGAAAAGAAAAGCAATGGTACCTCAACTGCAGCTTTAACTGGCCTTTAACTTGTTATGAGAATGAAGAACACCTTTTCTACTGTTTTAGGCCACTTGTATTTCTTTTTGTGTGAGCTGTCTGTTCATATTTTTTGCTCATGGGTTGGCGGTTTTACTTGTTGATTTGTAGGACATTACATGTTATTTTAAAGTTCAAATCATTATTAGAAAACTGGGTTCTTCTAGTATATCAAAAGATGTACAAATTTCCTCTTTCCAAATGCATGTTCAGCTCCTTTCACTTTTTATCAGCTTTAAAGTGGGTAATTGTGGTTTTCCTAAAACATATTTGACTTAAATCTCATTGATTTGTTTTAGCATTGGTGTCTCCTGAGATACTAGTTGGCATGACAGAAGCTTGAATTGTGGCCTGCATTGGCTAGTGGTAAGTGAAAGAAAAATAATTTCAGTTGGCAGGTATATCGTGAAATAATACAGAAATCTATTGATTTTTTTTGTTTTTATGGACTTACTAATATTACTGATGATGATGATGATGATGATGATGATTTGGTGTGAGAAATGACTTCAGACTTGGTATCCTGGTGTTATAAAAAGTACATAACAACTTGAGGAACACTCAAGTTTATACATCAAGACATTGCAGTTTTAAGAAATTATTAGATGATAGAAAAATAAAAACCTGAATTAAGCATTCAAAAAACTTTAACATCTTGAATTTGGTGGTAGTAAATTCCTTTATGCATTAAAATACAGATAGTATGCTGTTTTAACATTGTTTTAAAATTATCTGTAAAGTAGCTGTGGTTTTACATTTTTATGTGTTGTAGTTCTACAATTTGAGAGTTTTTTTTTTTTTAACTTGGATCTAGTATGGAGTAGTGAAAGATTCACTTGAGAAGTTCAAGTTCTGGTTCCATTTTCTAGCTTATGTGACCTTGGGCAAGTTATTTAACTTTTATAAACTTCCTCATCCACCACATTTACATTATGGGCTTGTGCAAGTTAAATGAAATAATACCCATAAGGCATAAGCCAAGCGCCTGGCACTTAGCATATATTTAATTTTTAAAAATTTTCTTAGTATATATTTAACTTTTGAAGCACATTTTATTTTACTCTAGTGTAAAACATTTTCATAGTGAAAATATCAATGTAACTTTGGTTAAATTGGTGGCTACCTTTGTGGATTATTTTGAAACTAATTCCTCTTATCCTTAAATAATCCTTTCATTGTACATGAAATTATGCCATTAGAGATTTATTCCATTTCCTCTCTTTCCCTCTTCTCTCTTTCCTCTCTTCCCTCCTTCCCTTAGTTCCAGGGCAATTTAATTCAGTTCAGTTTTTGATTTGAAGAATCTGAACCACATCTAGGTAATTTCTAGATTTCTAGAGAATTTGTACTGTGACAGTTTCCCTCTTGGGCAAAGTTGGTAGTTTGGCTGTGGCAAACTTGAATTCATGTGGGGGTCCTGATGCCTTACTAAGGAACAAAAATTGGAGAATGAATGGGATTCTTCCAGATTTTGAAAAAAGCTGTTGAAATTAATTTCTTTGCAGAAGTGGAGAAATAAACTCTAAAGAGGAATTCAAATAAGGGTGGTAGGTGTGTCCTGGTAGAAGGTGGAAGTAACTAAGATAGGTGAATGTTTTTCTCTTTTTGGCTTTTATCCAGTCCTTTCATAATGCACCTCTGCCAGGGCCTCTATTTCCTTATATGCAATAAAGGTTAATATGGTACGTCATATGTTTAACCTCTTCTGGCTTTATTTTATATTTGGTTTCACATCTGTTTCTTTTAGGGTAAGAGTAAAACTCCCACTTGAAAACGTTAGGAGATACAGTACTTCAGCTCAGGAAGGAAGTCAGAACTAGAGTTTTAGACATTTAGAACTTGAGGCAGGATAAATTAGACAGTAATGCTTAACAGCATGAACTTTGGAGCCACATTGCTTTGGTTCAACCCCTAGCCTTCCAAGTTATTTAACCTCTCTGTACCTTAGTATTTAAGGTACAGTTGGCAAGTTATTTAACCTTTCTGTACCTTAGTTTTTAATTTGTGAAATGGGAATAGAAGGGATAATAAGAGTACCTATCTCCCAGGGTTTTGGGAGGATTAAATAAATCAATAAATATGAAGTGCTTTGGACAGTGCCTGGCCCATGCTTAACACTCTGTTTGCTATTGCTTGCATATCACTGTGTGCATTTCTAGTGTCTTATGTACGTATTCCACATCTGCCCCAAGCAATCACAAACTTCCATACAGCTAAGACTGTTTTCCACTTTCCTCTTCCTATTACAATTCGTACATAAAAAGTACGCAATATATCTGAGATAATTTTCGAACTCCAGAAAGTCGTTTGCCTTGGTTTACCCGCTGAACAATATGAAGAGTCTTTCTCTTTAAAAATGGTGAGCATCAAACCACTTTTCATTAATACAATAACAGACTCAATTGATTCAATGTAGTTTCATTTCATACAAAGTCCCGGTATTGATAAGGTCATAAAAGTATTACTCTCTATTCCGAGTAGATTCATTTCACTTCATAGCACGGGTCTGATTCTCCTTTTTGTTAGCGTTTTGTTCTTTTCTGTGCTTCTCTGTCTGCCGGCCTCAGGAAGGCCATTCATGGACATTCCCTTTGCATGAGTAGCAGGTGATTTTTCAAGCCCGCCCCTGACCTCCGCCTCATGATCCAGACTCCACCCCCAGCCCGGGGAGGAGGGAAAGGGGTGGAGAGGAAAGGGGTGGGACGCCGCAGATTCCTGGGTGGGGCTTGGGTGGCGTGCCGGCGCCATGACGTGTGGCGCTACCAGTTGACGCAGTCGCAGTGACGCCTGGCCCCGGCTGGGACCCCTCCCATCCTTCTCCGCCCCTGTGTGTCAGTGGCTGGGGCCCCCGGGCCGGACCTGTGGCAGCTGGCCGGGGTGGCGGGGTTAGAAGGTTGTGGGCGCGGGCAGAGCTTCGCGGGCCGGGTCCTGCTCGGCGCTGCTGCCGCTGCCCGAGGCCTTTGGCGTCCCTCGGAGAGAGACCGGAGCGGTTCCAGGCCACCCCGGCGCTCACCCAGGTGAGGGGACGGGGTCGGACTGGGCAGGGTTGGGGTGAGCAGCAGTTTTCCGTCATCTCTGGAACTCAGCGGGGTGGGAGTCTGGAGGTTTGGCTTCACCGCTGTTGTCTGTTGCAGTGTCGATTCATTTTTTAGTTTCTTCTACAGTACCGGGACTTGTAGACCTGGTGTCGGAGGTCAATGGGAAGGCCTGGAAGGGCCATTGTAGTCAGATTTTTGGGGGCGCGGGCACGGGAGCGGCCTCTGTGGATGGTGATAAGGCGGGTGGGCGGCGCCCACTTGCTGGTGTGTGGACTCGGCGGGCGGGAAGGTCAGTGCACCTGCAGGCTCAGGCTTTAGCCTTTACAGCCTTTACCCGAACTGCTTAACGTAGGGTCGATTGACCAGGGGCGCTGGAGCCTTAGAATTCCTCTTTCCAATTCAGGCGTGGAGTGTTTTGTATTCTGAATTGGTGCTTGCCGAGTCTACACTACTGAAGAGTACATTTCAGTGGAAACATTATCTTTGGTCAAAGGAAGGTGAAGGGAAGTTGATTTTGCTTCTGCAGAGTATTGTCTCCCACCCACTCCCGACACCTAACTCCCATCTCCATTTGCCTTAGTTTTGACAGTAGAAAGTTAGGGACGCTTGTTAAATGGAAAGAGTTCTTGTAAACTTCCCCCGAAAGGAAATCATGGTTGTTTTTTTTTTTTTTTTTTTTTTTTTACTGTCCAGGCGTGTAAGTTTCAACTGGTTTCATGTTGCTGCTTTGACTCCTTGCATGGCATTGAAGCTGATTTATTCTAAGTTAACCATAAACATTAAACATAAAAATAGATGAATTAACCAGAACATTTATCTTACATAATTGTTGAGCGGTACATATTTCATATGCATGTTCCGTCATAACAATCTTATCATGTAAGGTCCATTATTATTATCATTTCATAGATAACGCACAGTCCTAAAAATCAACTTGTCCAAAGTCAAGGGATGAGATTTAAACTAGGTAATCTGACTCCAGTTTACAATCCCTTAATCAATACCCTTTATCGTCTCCCAAGTATCTTAAGAGTTCAAAGTGGTTTTCATTAAATGAGTAGTGTGCCAGGTGCTTGGAATTGGAAGGAAACTGAGGCATCATTCTTGCCAGCAAAGACCCAACAGTTTGAGAGAACAACTTTTTTTAAGGCCACACTTTGGGTATATATATATTTTAAGATTTCATTTATTTATTTATTTAGAGAGCGCACCCAGGGGGTGGGGCAGAAGAGAGAGAGAAAATCTCAAGCAGACTCTGAGTGTGGAACCCAATGGGGGGGGGCTGATCTCATGAGCCTGAGATCACGACCTGAGCTGAAACCAAGAGTCAGATGCTTAACCGACTGAGCTACCCAGGTGCCCCTTGAGTGTGTTTTAAAGGTAGGATTTGACCTCTACAACCCTCTCACTACCCAAATCATGCTCTTACTGTAGTTGTAGTGGTTTTGAAACCTTTGGAATGGTGTAGTTTGGAAACTGGTCTTATTCTAGATTTAGAAGTATTTCTTCTTTGGAAACTTTAAAGAAGGAAATGCAATTTTGGAGTAACATTAAAAACTTTCCACATGTGTGCATTTGCACGCATGTAATCAAATAATTTAATCTGAAGTGGTGAAAATGATGGTATAGCCAGACTATCTTGTATATTGATTAAATGTTCTTTTCAGGTTTGTTAAGATGAAACGCTGCAGGTGGATCTTCTGAAGATAAGAAGGAAGCAAAACAACATTGCAGACTCTGAAAAAAAAATTGGGGTAAATATTTTGGCTAAGTTTTTAAAAAATCTAATTTCCAATTAAAGCTGAGATAGGGGAAATCTGACTTTCTGCTTCAGTTGTGTTTTAATCTGTTTAAATGGTCAAGGGGTGGGGGTTTGGGGGGCTGTATAATGTGACTTGCCATTCATTTTACCTGACTTTTGAATTGTTGATATCTGACAATTAAGTTATGTGCTTAGCTTGTATATTGGCAGGAGAAAGCCAAGGGGAACTTTGGCTTGATTCGATCAAGTGTCAACACTTTTTCCCCTCTTTTGCTTGCTCATTAATCTGCCTATGTTATAAACAGTTTTAAAAAGAAATGAAGAAAATTAGTTGACTTTTGGTTTGTTCTTCACAGAATACTGGGTATGATTGAACTCAAGTATATTTTTTACTATGAGTTCTATGGAGCATAGTAGAAAACATGGTTAAACATGATGAAGAAAAACTTAATTCATTTCCTTGATATTTATTGAGTACCATATACCTTATTTCAGGTTTTTAGTATTAGAATAGTGGTTATCATGGCCCTGGAGAGTCTAGAGTAGAGGATTTTTTCTAGAAGGTAATATTTTTGTGAAATACCATACATTTTCTTGAGTTTTATATGCAAAGATGTTTTTGGTTTATGTAAAAGACTAGGAAAACAGCACTACCCATATGGTAAATGTTTGTATTTATAAGTCTTTCATAATTTCAGTTAATAAATGAAGGTACTCCACTAGTGCTACTTTAAGGTACAGTGGGACACTAGGATTCTTACAGACTTCATTTTGGCATTTTTTTTTTCATGTTAATGATAGTGTTGAAATTTAAAAAATTTCATGAAATGTTAAGAAAATTAACTCTTTAGGGGCACATGGGTGGCTCAGTCGTTAAGCGTCTGCCTTCAGCTCAGGTCATGATCCCAGGGTCCTGGGATCGAGCCCCGCATTGGGCTCCCTGCTCAGTGGGGAGCCTGCTTCTCCCTCTGCCCATTCCCCTGCTTGTGTTCCCTCTCTCGCTGTCTCTCTCTGTCAAATAAATAAATAAAATTAAAAAAAAAGAAAATTAACTCTTTAATTTGAGAAAATTTCAGGCAATTTGTAAATAACAAGTACAAGTGACATGGTCAGGCAACAGTTTGGTGATGAATTGGAGAGTGATGAACTTGGCAGAGTGGTGATCATTTAGAGGCTGTTGTAATAATCCAGGTGGCAAATGAGAACCAGAAGTACAGTGATGCAGGTGGGAATTATGGATGGAGATGGATTAGATAGATGCAAAGGAGATGCACTGGGTAGGATTTAGTGGGCTTGAGGGAAAGTAGAGTCAGGAAAGTTTTTGGTCACTGTCATGTTCAAGCACGTAATTAATGTTTAATAAATATTTGAAAGATAAGCAAACTGAATTATATGATATCTGGCTTGGGAAACTGAGTGGATTCTGGGAAACTGAGTGGATTCTGGGACCATTTACTATGGCAGTATACAAAGAACAGTAGATTGGGGAACATGGCCGGAGAAGATCACTTTGGGGTTGTTATGAGGCATCTGTGAAATGTCATTAGGAAGTTGTATATATGGATCTTAGTTAAGAACACCTAGCTGGAGACATACAATTTGGAGTCTCAGATTATAGTTGCTGGTTAAAAGCAATGGGACTGGATGAGATCACTCAGGGAAAAAATGTAGAGTAAAAGAAGAGAAATGAGGATGGGGAACACTAATAAATCAGATGGAAGGAAAACACACTTCAAAGGAGATGAGTGAGTAGATAAGGAAGCAGGAGAATCACAGAAGTCAATGGAAGAACTGAGTTTGGAGAAAAGGAATGAATATTAAGCATCTTTGAGACATCAAATAAAATGAGGACAAGAAAAGTATCCATTGAACATCAAGAAGTCATTGACCTGAGTAAGAACAATTATATATGTGGAGCCAGTTCACACTGGGTAAGAGATAAGAAACTTGAAATAGCTAATGTCATTTACTCTTTCAGAAAGTTTGGTTTTAAGCGGAACAGAGAGAGGATAGCTAGAGATACAAGTTTGAGAAAGAGTTTTTGTTTTCTAAAGGTATGAGTGATATGATTTATAATCTTTATTTGCTGAGGATAAAAAAACCATCAGAAATAAAATTTGAAGACAGAGGAATGAGGGAGAATAATTAATCACTACAAAGCTGGAAGGGATGGAATATGAGGATGCAGGTCAGGGGTACTTTAGATAGACTTCTACTGAGATAGGAGTTAAGGAGGTGGTGATGATTATGGATACAGATCCTCCTTTGTAGGAGGCAAGGTAGAGGTTGCTCCACAGAGCTCATCCAGGAGACTCCCACTTATAGTAGGGAGAGGAAATGATTCACTCGTATGATTGGTAATCTTCTTGGTGTGTTATTACTCCTCATCTTTTGATAAGTTGGAGGAGAGTAGAGTGCAGTAGTTTAGCTTAACCTGACAGGTATGAACCATTAGGGTAGAGATAACTTGCAGATATCTTACAAAATTACTTTTCTCATACTTTGTATTAGTTATCTATTGCTGAGTAACAAATCGTACCTGAATTTAGTGGTCTAAAATATTTAGTATCTCAGTTTCTGTGGATCTAGATTTGGGAGTGTGTAAACTGGTTTCCTCCGATCTTAGGGTCTCTCAGGAGGTTGCAGCCAAAATCTTGGCTGGGACTTCAGTCATCTCAACTGCCGCTGAAGGATTTACATCCATGATGGCCCACTCACATGGCTGTTGGCTGGAGGCCTCAAATCCTCAGCATGTGAACCTTTCCAGGGCTTTTTAAGTGTCCTAACAAGGCAGCTGGTTTCCCCTGGAACAGATTATCTAAGAGAGCAGGGAGGAAGCTGTGATGCCATTTTTGACTAACCATTGCTTCTGTCATATTCTTTAGAACTGTATCACTAAGTCCAGCCCACACTTGAGAGGGAAATAATTAAGTTTGACCTCTTGAAGGGAGAAATATTAAGGAATTTTTAGACATTATAAAACCACCATACATCTTTTATCACTTGTCACATTCTTTAGGGTCAAATAAGCTCTTTCAAAGTACAAAAATATAGCCTTTATGACCAGGTGAGACAGAGGTTCTAGAAAAGTGGGGAGGTGGTTAAGTCAGATTTGGCTCACTTTATAATTTGGCCTTCTTTGCTACTAATCAGGCTCCATAACTTAACGTGCTACCAGTTAGGGTTATTTTTAAAAGTGCTTGTTGACCTTTGATTTAATGGAGGATCCTTTTAGAAGAAAAAAATTCCATAGTGGGCAAAATATGAATTTTTTATAACAAAATAGGAATTTTGATAGCATTCATATTAGCTTGTAAATGTAAAGCTGGGAGGAAGGATCTCATTTTTCATATAAAGAAACTGAGAATGAAGAGATAATTACTGAGGCCATGTATTAATTGTGTTTGTGCTTAGCTTCTCAATGCCATAGTTTTCTCATCTGTAAAATGGAGAATTGTAAATGAGTAGTTATTTGTGACGATTAGATGAGTAAATACACATGAAGTGCTTAGAACAGTGCCTAGCACACAGCAAGCATTGAATAAATGTTACAGCCATTGTTATGGCAGCTATATTTTTATTATTTTAATGGTGAATTAATACCATGGAATGAACATTTCAAAGAGTAGGAGAACATTGACCAAAATGTTTAAAGCTTAAACCTTAGATTACTGATGTTATTATACTTTGTCACTTTTTATGTATATGTAAAGTATATTTCTATATCCATTTTTTTCTATACATATCCATTTAAAATGCTGTCTCTGATATAACCAGTAGTATTGTATAATCATATATTGTTGTTTTATTTACATGAAAGTTCAATTTCAGTTGTGGCAATTCTCCGCTCACAGGAATTGGCTACTAAATGGATCTTGTGGGCTCTTTGGGTAGCAACACGCTATTAAAAAACATTTTCTTTGTACTTGATATGATGAGAGTGTTGGTAAACACATGTTGCAAGTTTCATTCTCCTTCTCCCCACATCCAGGACCCTATTCTGTTGGGCAAGTGGTTTGAATATGTATTTGGGAGGGTTTTCTGACTGACATGACATAAGGTAGAACATAGCTTAAGGGACAGATAGGAAAATGGAAATAGTTTTATTACAAAAATCCTATAGAATTTTACTTTGCTGGTGCTTTTTAGTGTTATACCTTCTGGTGTATTTTTAATCAAAATGAAAGTGATATATTGAATTCTTGATTAAAATAAAACTTGGACAGCGTGTTCACTAGTCAGTACAAAAAATGAAGACAAAACCCCACAACCAGTGTATGGAATGTAGAAGTGGGAGGATTAAGCAGTTACTGTTGATCTCTTTGTATTACTGACCGTATCAAGGAATATGTTGAAGGTAGTAATTAGTTCTGGTGGACTATTAAAAGTGGGTTATATTTAAAAATCATGGTTTCTTCTAGGTTTGGAGAGATCGAAGTCAGTTCTTTTTACCCTATTAGTAGATATGTTTTCTATAGATTTTTAAGAGATTGGTTTTGTTTTGCTTTTGCTTCTATTAAGTATTTAGGTAAATCAGCATAAATTTCTGGCTGTGGAAGTCACGTTTCCTAAAGTGCAAAATTTTTGTTGAATGATATGATTTCTTAGATGTTAAAAATTCTTCCATACATAGTATAAAGAACCATTTTTGTAGCATAGATTACAAAGTTAAAAAGTACATTAATTTGCAGATTTGTAGCGTTTGAATTGTCACTCACCATATCTGAATATTTCTTCAGCAATAGTTGCCTGGTGGCTAGTGTATTTTGGTATTTGATCTGCTTCTAAGAATCATGCTCACTGGTATTTGTAGAACTATATTATTCATATTAATGTAATACTTTCTTGATATTTATGCCAACTAATTTTTTTGTAAAATTCTGTTATTTAGTTACATATATGTATTTTTCTTATATATTGTAAGAAATGAGATGGATTTTTAGTCATTGTTTTTTTTTTTTTTAAAGATTTTGTTTGTTTATTTGACAGAGA